TTTTTATGAAAATTAATTATCATCAATTAATTACATTTTCAAAATATTACTAATTATCTAATTATAAATATTGTTAAATTTTTCTTTTTTTTTATATATATTTTATAAAAATTAATTATTTACATTTTTAATAAAATAAATATATTATTTTATAATTTATATATATATTAATTTTTTTTTTTAAACATTTTTTTTTTTTTAATTAAGAAATATTTTTTATAAATAAGATATTATATATATAAATTATTTTAAATATATATTTATATATTTATATATTTATATATTTATATATTTATCATTTAATTTATAATTTTTTTATTAAAAGATATTTTATTATATAAATTTTTTTATTTTTATATTTCTTTGTTTCTTATAATATTTATATTTTATACTAAATTATATATTAATAAAATAAAATATTATATGTTTATAAAATTTTTAATTTTTTTTTTTATTAATTATTTTAAAATAATTTATTTATTTTAATTACAAATAAAAAATATAATTTATAAATATAAAATCTTAATAAAATAAATGCTAATAAAGAGGCAAATAGTATCATTAAGCTAAATCTCTTTAAATAATAAATTTTCGTTTTCTTTAAAAAGTTTTAGAGGAATAAAGCATAATTAAAGAATAAGAAATTTTTTTGATATAAATCCTTTATTTCCAGGTATAAATCAAAACAAATAATAATTTTTATAATTATATATAAAATGTAATTTCAAAATAAATTAATAATATAGTTATTTTAAAAAATAAATATAGATTTAAATGAAGTTGAAAGAAAATTATATTAAGATGTCGAATTTAAAAAAGCACAATCTAATACAAATATTACTTAAAAGTAGTTAAATAAAACAATAGAATATTATTTTTTTTATAAAAAAATCATTAATTACTTTTTTTTAAAAAACAAAAGGTTTTATGATTCTAACAAAAATCATTTTTTGAAAAGAATAAATCAGTATTTAAATAGAGATAAAAAAAGAAAATTTGGATTTAAATCTAAAAAAGAGAAACTTCAAAACATTGGAGAAAAATTAGTTTAAAACATATTTATTGACGAAGAAACAAAACTTCCTTATGGAATTGGATTTGATGAATATATTGAATATTTAAAAGAATAAGCTATAGTGTCAAAAACAGAATAATTCTAAAAAACTTTAGAAAAAATTTGTAAATAAATAGGCTGTTTAGATGATATTTAAATGATGAAATTTTTTTAATTTGTTATTGCGGAAAAAACTGCTGATTCATTTAAAAATGATTCCAGACTTTTTATAACAAAAAGAGTAATTGAAGAATTAAAAAAGGAAGGAATTTCATATGAAGAAAAAAAAGTGTTTTTAAAGAAATATTTAGGGGGAGGAAATTAAGATGAATTAATTAGAAAAGCAGAAATTTAAAATGAAGAAGATCTATATTAAACTATAACACCTTTAATTTAATAATAAGCTTTGGAATCTGAAACTAAAAATAGAGCACTTTTAAGTGTTTAAAAAAAAATAGAATAAAACACAGGTATTTTAATATCACATATATATTTTTAATTTTTTTTTTTTTTTTCATAAATAAGAATTCAGAAGAGTTGAAAAAAGACCAGATAGAATTGATGAAAATGATGCTTTTTTTAGTGAAGAAAGTGATCAAGAAAGCCATTATAATGAACCTTTTTTTAATTATAAATATAAAAAATCGTCCTTGAAAGATCATGTAAATCCTTTTGTTACTTTAAAAAGAGAAGATTTCGATAATTAGGCGATTTATAGATAAGTTAAGAAGAATTATTATATTAATAAAAAGAAATATTACGAAGAAAATATCTATACTGATGAAAATAAAAAAAGAGATGATAATTAAAACAATTTATAAGTTACTGATTTTTTAATAAATTCTTAAGGTTTTTTTTTTTAATAAATGTATATGAATATATAAATAATAATATTAGATGAATAAGAAATATTGAATTTATTAAAAAAATTCAATTTAATTAATGAAGCGATTCCCGAAATTAATTTTAAAGAAATAGTCGATAATATAGATTTTTTAGCTGATAAAGCTCCAACTTCTATAAAAATATAAATAAGCAAATAAAAAAATAAAGACAGAAATTTAAAATTTGAAGGATTGTATTTTTATTTGAAAATAAAAATATATATTTAATGTTTGTTTAATAAATTAAAAAAAAAGTTATCTAAAAGAAAATTTAAAACCAGAAGACTATTTATGGAAGAACCTTTAAGAGAATTTTTAAAGAATTTTCCCTACTAACATATTAGAAGCTTAAAAAGGCTAATAAATATTAAATTAATAAGATGATTTAGCCCATGAACCATATGAATATGATGTGTAAATAAAAAAATTAAATATTTAAATTTATAATTATAATAATTGTTTTTAATGTTAGATAAGAAATACTAGAACTAAGTTAATTAAAATAAGAATCAGACCAAAAAGGAATTAAGCATTTAAATGAAGATCATTAAATGGAATTAGAAATTTATGTGAGACAAAATTAAGACCCTTTTTTCAGACATTATATTTAAAACGATATTAAATATTTCATTGATAGAATTCAAGAAGGTGCTTTTGATGTTATGTCTGGTTTAATGCCTTCTAGTGTATTTTTTTTAAATTGTTATAGATAATATATATATATATATATATATATATATATATATATATATATATATATATATTTGTATTTTTGTATTTATATTCTTATTATTTTAAATAATCAAAAAAAGAAATCAAATGACTTAGTATAGTATTATGATGCTGATAGGGAAAATTTATGCCCTGAAATTTTAGAAGATGAATCTTTAAGATTATAATATGAAGCTTTAAAAAAAGAAAAAATTAGCAAACTTCGTATTTTTAACTCAGGAAAAAGAAAAACTTCCACATGCTTAGTTATGATTACTGAAGGACCTGGTATAGTCTTAGTTAATGGAAAAAAAATCTTCAATTATTTTTGTCATCCTTATCATAGAAATATTGCTCTTAGACCTTTGTTTTTATCTCCTTCTTCACATTGTTAATATAATATAAATTTCTATGTTAGAGGAGGTGGTGTTACTGGGTAATCTAATGCTTGCTAAGTCGCTCTTGCTAGAGCCCTTGGATAATTAAATCCTTGTTTAAGACCAATATTTATGAAATGTAATTTTATTTTGTTTTATTTTTATCTTAATTTTACAAAAGTGGATTTATTACGTACGGATTATAGATAAAAAGAAAGAAAAAAAACTGGTAAATATAAAGCAAGAAAATCTTATACTTATGTTAGAAGATGATTTTTTTTTTATTATATGGAAAAAATAATATTTTTAATTAAGATAAATATTTAAAATTAATTATTAATTTCCTTTTTTTTAATTTTTTGTAAATGATTTATTATTAATATAAAAAAAATTTTCTCAAGAAAAAATAAATAATTTATTTTATTTAAAATTTATTATTTATAAAAATATTATTCAATATTATTTTTTATTTAATGTTTTTATAAATAATATTTTATTTAATTTATTGATATAATAATTGGGATTTTATATCTATATGTATATATATATATATATATGAATATATATATAAATATAAATATATATATATATATATATATATATATATAGATTTATTATGAAAATTTTATTTAAATTTTAATATTTATATTGTAATATTATTAATAATTAATATGATTTTTGTTATAATAAAACATAAAATGAAGTCTTTTATAAAGATAAGTATAAATATTATTTATTATTATTATTATTTTCTTTAGTCTTTCTGTAAATGTATATTTTTTTATTAATAAAAAAAATATTAAAAAATAAAGTGTAAAAAGTTGGAAAAGTTGGTTATTTATATGTTGTTTTTTATAAAAATTATAAAGACTATATTATCAAAGTATATGATAATATTTTATTTTATTTAATGTTATAAAAATTAAATAAAATATATTTATGAAATTTTATATAATTTTGAATTAGTTTATTAATATTTAAACTTTTAATAATAATAATGTAAAATATTTACGTTTTTAATCAATTTAAAATAGAATTAACTTATAAGATAAAAAATTTACATTTGTAAAAATTAAAAAATCTAAAAAGGCTATAAATTAAATAACTCATTTAATTTTAAAAATATATAGTATAAATAATTGTATGATAAAAGATGAAAAAAAATTATTGTATAATAAAAGAAAAAATAAAATTTTAAGTAAATTTATAAAATGTTTGATAATAAATTAAAAAGACTTTATTAATTTAGAAATAAGGAAAACAATGTGGCTAAAATAATATTGTAGTTAATTAAAGAAAATGCAAATATTATTTAGGAAATAGAAGAAAAAAAGATATAAATATATATTTATATATATATAATATATTTATATATTATTTTAATGTGTTTTTCCTATATAAATTTTTATTTTTTAAATTTTATAAAAATAATATTAACATATATAAATATACTTTTTACTGTTTTATATTATAAAATAATATAATTTTTAAGTTTTATTTAAGAAAAAATATAAAAATTTAATTTACTTCAATATTATTTTTTTTTTCAAATAAATTATTTTATAATTAGAAATAATTTTATTTTATTATATTATAATATATATTTCTTAAAATAAAATAAATATTTATTTATTTATAAATAATAATTATAATATATATTATTTATATTAATATAATTTATTTTTAAAAATTTAAATTAAAGAATAATTGAAAATATTTTATTTTTTTATTAATATATGAATATAAATACAAATATAAGCATTTTAAGTTAAAATAACATAAATTTACCAAACTTATTCGAAAAATTAAACTTATTAATAACTAATAATTCTGAAAGTATTTTAAAAAATAAATTATAATATATAAAAATTAAAATTTATATGTTAAAATAAAGTTACACAAAGCAAAATAACATAAAATAACAAAAATCCTTAAATAAAAAGAACTAAAGAATATCGAAAAAATCATAATATATCAGCGAGTTAAGATATTTAAAATTTTATTATAAGAAGTAGCAAAAATGGGAATTATTATAAAATAAAATAAATAAGAAAATAATATGAGAAATAATACAATGAGAATTTTAAAAAAGAAGATTATTTAAAAATAGTTAAAAATAATTATTGCTAAAATTATTATACTTATTGTAATACTACTTTTTCAAGATAAATAACAAAAGATTATTTATCAAATGTTTCTTAAAATTTATAAAAAAATAAAAAAAGTTTAGAGAAAATAAAAAAAAGCCATGTTGAAGTTATATAATAAAACAAAAAATACTAATAAAAAAGTTTGATAAAAATAAATGATATTAATAAAAATGTTTCTAAAATAAATAATGAAATCGATTTTTTAATTTAATAAGAAGAGGCTATTTAAGATATTATTTAAAATGAAACAAAATTATTAATTAGAAAAGTAAAATAAAATAAAAAATAAGAATATATAATAAAAAAAAATACTGCCTATTTTAATATTTATGATGAATAATAAGATAAAATAAAAGAAGAAAAAAATAACTTTTAATAGATGAAAATAAATATGTAATAAATATAAAGAACATCATTAAATAAAAAATTATCAACTTCAAATTAATAAATAAAAGAAAATAAAAATAATGCTAATATAAAAATAGAAAAACTAGAAAAAGTAATAAATAAATATAAAATATTATAAATATAGATGTAAAAAAATAATAATAATATATATATGTATATATATATATATATATATATATATATATATATATATATATATATTTATATATATATTTATATTTTTATTTTAGCCATATTTATAAGAAAGATTATATGGAAATTTTAAAAATAATCCTAATAATTTAATTAATTAAAAAATTAATAATTAATTCATTTAAAAATCTTTAAAATCGCATTCTAATTTTTTTTAATTTGATGAAGAATTTGAAATTATAAGTTTATCAAGGAAATAAAGTCCTACTCTATAAGTTTATAATAATAATGATGAAATCGAGAATATTCATAATAATTTAAGTTCTATTAATATTAATTGTAATTATTAAAATAATGCTAATATTAATAATAGTATATATGCATTTTAAAGTAACAATTAAGAAATCAATAATGAAAATAATAATTTAATATTAAGCGATGAAAAAGATAAATTAAATGTAAATAATTAAGATTTAAATGAATTTAAAATTAACTTATTATAATCCGATACATAAATCAATCTTTCTTTATAATCAGCACATATATAAAAAAAAAGTATAAATAATATGAAGAAATAAAGTATTTTAATGGAGGAAAATAATTTTAATGCTTCTTTATTATAAGAAAATTATTAAGATAATAACAATAATCAATAATACTAAAATTCTATAGATATGAGAAGTATAGGTGGAAGCGATAAAATTTTAAAAGCAAATATAAATAATAGTTAATTTTAAGATAGCAATTTAATATAGGAATATTAATAATAAAAAAATGTTAATATTAGCTAAAAATTTATAAGTAAATAGTAAGGGAAAAAAGAAAATAATAGTTAATTAAAATTTTAAAGTGCTATAGAGAAAAATATTAATAATGAATCAATCAAGTTTTCTTTTCAAAATTATTATAATAATAATAATAATAATAATAATAATAATAATAATAATAATAATAATAATAATAATAATAATTTTAATAATAATTATAATAGTGATTCTATAATCTAGTAATAAAAAACTCAAGAATAAAATATTTATGAAATTAATTATATTTTTTCAAGAAATGTTTCCAATTCTTCTTTCTGCTTTGATTAGTCAGATAATATTTAACAAGTTTAAATTATTAAAAATGAATTTAATAATACTTTTTAAAACAAGTAAAAAATATAAATAATAAATTTTATATATTTTTTTTTTTTAAAAAAAAGTTAAATTTTATTTTAATACATTATAAAAAAACTTAATGAATTTTATTTAGTCAAAGGAAGATTTATTTTCGCTAAAAACAAAAAAGAAATCATAAATATTTAAGATTTACAACAAATAGAAATTTAAATTTAAATAAATTAAATGAATTTAAAAGGAGGAGGTTGGTAGGATTTATTTTTTATGAATTTCAAGAAATTTATTGAAGAGTTTTTCCCTAATAATGACCTTAACTACATCACTTCCTCAGTTGAAATTCCTAAAAACGAGCAATACTTTAACATGTTTCGTTTTTAGAAATTTTTAGCTCACAAAGGGTTTACTTTAGATTAAAAAGTAAGTCTATATAAGTAATTAAAGGGAAAAATATCAATTGAAAATTGCAAAATTACTTTGATTTAGACTAATAAATATAAGAATAAATTAAATATAGAAGATGGGGAGAAAATAGACTATGAAGAAGAAGAAAAAGAAGACTATAATGAATAAAGTTATTAAATTTAATCAATACATAAAAGAAAAAGCCTATTAGATGAAATATTAATAATTGATATTTTGGAAGAATAAAATATAAGGGAACTTGAGCAAATAATTTATAAGGAAAATTAACCGTGAATTCGTGACTAGATATATTATAAAAATATGAAGAAAAATAAAAAAAAAGCAGAAATGGGTAATATATTGCAAAATTATAGGAAAAATAGTAATTTTAAGGATGAAAAAAAAAATTTTTTGGTCATGTCGAAGGTTTTAAAGGCTTCTAAAATTTTAAAGTCTAATATTAAAATCAATAGAATTATAAATTAGACTAATTTTGAACTTATTAATGATCATATTTAACGCGTGAATGAGAAAACAGTGTTTATTTAGGATAAAAATGAGATTTTACTATTGGAAAATTACAATAGTGTAGTTAAGTTAGAAGGTAATAAGCATTTTTTTAATTATTCTTTTAGAGATTGCAAAAGTGGGTTTTTATAGAATATTAAAGTGAGCTTTTTTTTAAATTAAGAAGATGGTTTGGAAGCGTTTTTGGTCATTTTTAATAAATGTAACTCGTTTTAGGTGGATTTTATTAAAGTTAAAGGTAAGGAAAAGATAGAGAAGTTAATTAATTTAATTTAAGTGTCTTAGGATGGTATTACTTAATGGTTAAAGTATTCTCTTTTAGAAAAAAAAGAAGGACTTTTGAAAAAATTCTGTTTTTAGTGTGTTTTTGGGAAAAATATATAGGAGAAAAAATATTAAGAAATAGATTTTAGTATTATTGAATTTTTGGGTTTAGGCGTAAATTTTGATGTATAATTTTTTTTAAATAGAATAAAATTTTTAATAAGTAGTGGAAATAATAATAGCGAATTTTTGAAAAATTATTTTT